GAACAAACATTATACTCACTTTTTATGGCTAAATAGCTATGTTTCACTTCAAGTGTTTCACTCTTTTTTTTATCACTCTTTTTCCTCTCAAGTGTTTCACTAACGCTTTCTTTCTCTCTTTTTTCTTGAAGAAATTTTTCTTTCATTTTTTTTTATCCTCACATACTTCTTGTGGACTCAAAGGTTTGAGCACAATCTTCTTGTCTTGGTGCATGAAAGAAATCTTGTTAGTGAACCCGTTATGATTAACTATTTTATCAAATTGTCATAGTCTCCCCAAAAGTAAATGACTGACTTCCATAGGAATAATATCACAAAGCACCTTATCATTGTATTTTTCAATGGAAATGTCCACTTCAACTTGTCTCACTTGCACCTCTCCATCCTTACTAAGCCATTGAAGTTTATATGGCCTAGGATGTGGTTTGGTAGCTAAATTTAGCTTTGATACTAATCTAGCACTAGCCACATTGATGCAACTACCTCCATCTATGATCATCATGCACACTTTGTCATTGATTAAACATCTAGTGTGAAAAATATTTTTTCTTTGGTTTTCTTCCATAGGTTTCAATTGACTATCAAGTAATCGCCTAATCATCAATAAATCTCCCTTTGGATTCTCTTCCTCCTCCTCAGTGTCTTCACTCTTTTCTCCCTCTTCAACCTCAGATTCACTTATATATTCTCCCTCTCTAAGAATCATGGTCTTTGTGTTAGGGCACTCATAAGCATAGTGTCCTAGGCCTTGACACTTGAAACACTTCACATCTCTACTTTTTTTAGAGGGTTGTTCTTCATATTTTGAATGAGTCTTTGTAGGAATAGGTGTGGAACTACTAGAAGTAACAGTCCCATCTTTTTTGCCTTTGTCCTTCCAACTTGAAAATCCAAAGTTGGTAGAACTCTTCTTAGTCACTTCTTTTCTTTTGAGTTGTTGCTCCACTCGAATTACTTTATGAAGTAAATCCTCCATATCAACAAACTCCCCCAACTCAACAATATCACATATATCAATATTCAAACCACCAATAAATTGGGCCATAGTTACCTCTTCATCTTCTTCAATCTTTGCTTGAATCGTGAGCATGTCCATTTCTTTGAAATACTCCTCAACCCCTTTGTTGCCTTGAGTAGGTTTTTGGAGTTTAAATTTCAAGTCCTCCCTTGCATAACTAGCCGTCACATACCGCTTCCTCATAATCCTTTTCATCTCAGTCCATGTATTAACCATTGGCTCTTCATTTCTATCTCTCTCCTTTTGTAGCTTGTTCCACCAAACAAGAGCATAGTCAGAAAATTTTGTTGTTGCAAGCCTCACCTTTTGGGTCTCCTCATAATTGTTGCATGAGAAAACATGCTCTATTTTCATCTCCCACTCCAAGTAAGCTTCTGGATCACTTTTTCCTTTGAACGGAGGAATGTTAAGCTTGACTCCTTCAAGCCTACTTGGTCTTGTTACTCCATCATTCATTCTCCTATTTCTCCTTTCTTCTTTGTCTTCAGGATTTCTATTCTCCAACCGGTTCAATCTTTCATGGAGCTCATTGTTATGTCGTATCATTAATCCTTCCAAATGTTGTATCAATACTCTCATTTGAATTTGACTAATTCCTGCTTCTTGATTGTAATTTTCCTCTTCTACCATCAATTTGATGTTTAAACCCTTAAACCAGAGCTCTGAATACAAAATTATATGAATCACAAGGGGAAATTTAGGATCTTTAGGGTTAAAACATTGTAAGAAATTTAGGAATTAGAAAGAAGGTGGAAGGAAAGAATCACTCTTCCTAAGGGAGGCAACACACAAAGGATGTGACAGTCTTTTGATACAGACCAAGGGTTCTTGAATCACTCTCACTAAGATAAAAGAGATAAACTCTAATATTTCGAATATAATTTCACTTGTTATTTCTTGATAAAAATGGTTCAGCTGATATAGAAGCGTTGGCATCAAAATTACAAAAGATTCAATAAAAGAAAATAAATACTAATAATAACCCATTAATCTAGGAATTGAAAACTATTTAATGGAAACAAATAAAGGCTAATAATGATCCATTAACCTAGGAATTGAAACTACTTAATGACTGATTGTATTCGAAACTCGTGGCAACCAAAAGTCAATCAGCTATGCACCCCTTGGTCTCCCAAAGGTCGATGACTAAATTTTCAATTGGGCCCTTATTACAACTTAAAACAAAATCAAACTAAAGCCCATTAATTGATTAATCCAAAACACAATTTGGTCAACCAACAATACTTGTTGAAGAACTTCCTTTGTTTCCCTAGCTCTAGCCCTTATCATAGGTCATGTTCACATCATTCTCTCCCTCTTGAAAATGATTTGTCCTCAAATCGGATTCGTCATCTACATTAAAAAGAGATAAGTCTGACAAATTAAATGTAGAACAAACATTATACTCACTTTTTATGGCTAAATAGCTATGTTTCACTTCAAGTGTTTCACTCTTTTTTTTATCACTCTTTTTCCTCTCAAGTGTTTCACTAACGCTTTCTTTCTCTCTCTTTTCTTGAAGAAATTTTTCTTTCATTTTTTTTTATCCTCACATACTTCTTGTGGACTCAAAGGTTTGAGCACAATCTTCTTGTCTTGGTGCATGAAAGAAATCTTGTTAGTGAACCCGTTATGATTAACTATTTTATCAAATTGTCATAGTCTCCCCAAAAGTAAATGACTGACTTCCATAGGAATAATATCACAAAGCACCTTATTATTGTATTTTTCAATGGAAATGTCCACTTCAACTTGTCTCACTTGCACCTCTCCATCCTTACTAAGCCATTGAAGTTTATATGGCCTAGGATGTGGTTTGGTAGCTAAATTTAGCTTTGATACTAATCTAGCACTAGCCACATTGATGCAACTACCTCCATCTATGATCATCATGCACACTTTGTCATTGATTAAACATCTAGTGTGAAAAATATTTTTTCTTTGGTTTTCTTCCATAGGTTTCAATTGACTATCAAGTAATCGCCTAATCATCAATAAATCTCCCTTTGGATTCTCTTCCTCCTCCTCAGTGTCTTCACTCTTTTCTCCCTCTTCAACCTCAGATTCACTTATATATTCTCCCTCTCTAAGAATCATGGTCTTTGTGTTAGGGCACTCATAAGCATAGTGTCCTAGGCCTTGACACTTGAAACACTTCACATCTCTACTTTTTTTAGAGGGTTGTTCTTCATATTTTGAATGAGTCTTTGTAGGAATAGGTGTGGAACTACTAGAAGTAACAGTCCCATCTTTTTTGCCTTTGTCCTTCCAACTTGAAAATCCAAAGTTGGTAGAACTCTTCTTAGTCACTTCTTTTCTTTTGAGTTGTTGCTCCACTCGAATTACTTTATGAAGTAAATCCTCCATATCAACAAACTCCCCCAACTCAACAATATCACATATATCAATATTCAAACCACCAATAAATTGGGTCATAGTTACCTCTTCATCTTCTTCAATCTTTGCTTGAATCATGAGCATGTCCATTTCTTTGAAATACTCCTCAACCCCTTTGTTGCCTTGAGTAGGTTTTTGGAGTTTAAATTTCAAGTTCTCCCTTGCATAACTAGCCGTCACATACCGCTTCCTCATAATCCTTTTCATCTCAGTCCATGTATTAACCATTGGCTCTTCATTTCTATCTCTCTCCTTTTGTAGCTTGTTCCACCAAACAAGAGCATAGTCAGAAAATTTTGTTGTTGCAAGCCTCACCTTTTGGGTCTCCTCATAATTGTTGCATGAGAAAACATGCTCTATTTTCATCTCCCACTCCAAGTATGCTTCTGGATCACTTTTTCCTTTGAACGGAGGAATGTTAAGCTTGACTCCTTCAAGCCTACTTGGTCTTGTTACTCCATCATTCATTCTCCTATTTCTCCTTTCTTCTTTGTCTTCAGGATTTCTATTCTCCAACCGGTTCAATCTTTCTTGGAGCTCATTGTTATGTCGTATCATTAATCCTTCCAAATGTTGTATCAATACTCTCATTTGAATTTGACTAATTCCTGCTTCTTGATTGTAATTTTCCTCTTCTACCATCAATTTGATGTTTAAACCCTTAAACCGGAGCTCTGAATACCAAATTATATGAATCACAAGGGGAAATTTAGGATCTTTAGGGTTAAAACATTGTAAGAAATTTAGGAATTAGAAAGAAGGTGGAAGGAAAGAATCACTCTTCCTAAGGGAGGCAACACACAAAGGATGTGACAGTCCTTTGATACAGCCAAGGGTTCTTGAATCACTCTCACTAAGATAAAAGAGATAAACTCTAATATTTCTGAATATAATTTCACTTGTTATTTCTTGATAAAAATGGTTCAGCTGATATAGAAGCGTTGACATCAGAATTACAAAAGATTCAATAAAAGAAAATAAATACTAATAATAACCCATTAATCTAGGAATTGAAAACTATTTAATGGAAATAAATAAAGGCTAATAATGATCCATTAACCTAGGAATTGAAACTACTTAATGACTGATTGTATCTGAAACTGTGACAACCAAAAGTCAATCAGCTATGCACCCCTTGGTCTCCCAAAGGCTGATGACTAAATTTTCAATTGGGCCCTTATTACAACTTAAAACAAAATCAAACTAAAGCCCATTAATTGATTAATCCAAAACACAATTTGGTCAACCAACAATACTTGTTGAAGAACTTCCTTTGTTTCCCTTGCTCTAGCCTTATCATAGGTCATGTTCACATCAACAACTTTCACCATAAGCTTTTCTAGGAAAAAAATATAAGAAAAAAATAAATTTGACTTCTCCAAAAGCCAAAATTTACTTATGGGCAAATTAAAAATAAAAAATTAGAAAAATTATATGAGAGAGCTTCTACAAATTAGTTCATGTATAAGATAAGTTTAGTTTGTGGAAAAGTTAATTTCAATTTTTTTTTTTTTTAACTTCTCTCTCCTGTAAGGATCTTATGGAGAAGCTTGTCCAAACAGGTATAAATATTAAATAAACTAACCTTCCCTGGCTTTATTGTGCTCACATCTTCTAGAGAACATATAACACACTGCCACATAAACACTAAGCATTAGTTCCAAAAGGATTGCTTAAAAAAACGCATAGTTATGCTTGTGTAGTCAACCTGTAACATATTAAATGTACAAAACTTGCTTTAAAAATACTAACTGGCAGGTTTTTTGTTACTTAGAAATTAAGTTAAGGAAAGCAGAAACTGTAAAATAATCAAAATACCTGAACTGGGAAATCCATTTGGGGTCTGCGGGTGGACCAATCAATGCTATCCCAATTAACTGATGGTGGAAACATTTTGTAGTCCTTTTGCATGAAGAAACCCTGATACAAGAAATGTGAATTTATAAGGCATTTTGAATAGGAATTGTTTGGTATATGAATACCACTCTGCATAATATATTAGACCTGGCATTCTTCTGCAATGATATTGATATCTTCCAGCCATTTAACAGACCGGGCTCCAATGACACCAGGAACAACCACACGTAATGGATACCCATGATCCCTGTTAAGAGGCTAATAAAAGGGATATTAAACCGAGCTGAAAACACTAACTAGTATAATAACATAATATACCTCACCAACCAAAGCCAAAAGAAAAATCCAGTAGCAAATTCACACTGGAAGTATAATGGATAGTTGTTTTACAAAGGAAGGACAAAGATTAAAGATATTTATGGTTCAAGACAAAGCCTATGATCAATACTCATGCATACCCCTAGATGTTCATCTCTTTACAAAAGAGTAATTGTGTTTAAATTTTGTGAAATCTATTCAATAGCTAATCTTATATATTCTATTATGAATTTATAGGCTACAAGTAAAGAAATAGGGAAAGAGAAAAAAGGAAACTCAGGAAATATTCTGAATAGTTAGAATTCTCCAAATATGTTAGAATCCTTTAAATATATTAGAATCCTATAGATATAATATTAGGAACAACTGATGATATCAGGATCAATTACATTGATTTTATATTTATGTTATTTTCTCTATAAATTGAATAGCTCAGTTGTGGTCTACATACACAAAATTCATCCCCTACATTACATCTAAAGCCTTCTAATATCTCAATGAACTTGTTGGTGCCTAAATGTATTTTTCTTTTCAGCATCATTGATCATTGCATCATTGTTCAGCCAAGCACCACTGTCGGCTTTTCCAACCAATTACAATATCAAAGGAATCATCGCAAGAAGAGCATCCTATCCCCACCGATCCAATAGTCAATAGTCATCTCTCTGTGCTACTATTTGTCATGCCTCTGTGCAACATAGCACTATCATTGTCCCAGGTTCTTTATGCCCCATGACCACATTACCAGCATTGCCTCGACAAGACCGGCCTACCCCCATCTGTCCAACATAGGTCACATAGGCACCATGCATGGTGGGGCACCTGATGTCCTTTCCCAGTGTTGTTAAGTGCAGTTTGCTCGCCCCTCTCTCCTCTACTTGAATCTAGTCTCGGTTCTTCATTTGGCAACCTTTTTGTCACAATTTTTCCCCCTTTTACTATTGTTTGGGAACTTGCTCTCTCCTCTCGTTACTCTCTCCTCTCTCCTCCCCTTTTACTTCCAAGCCTGACACTAAGATTTTTACCAGTCATCACATTGAACTTTGGCTTGTTGGAGAGGAATTTGAAAAAATGGATCTTTCACATTCGGCTAAGTGCATTGGAACTAGAAATACAACCAAGAACATACGATTCATCCAGTAGGATTGCCACACTATCGAACATTGGAAATTCTACCTTCTTCATTGATTGTCAAAACTTTTGTACCATCTCTCCATTAAATCTTGAGGAGAATTTGGTCATGAAACTGATTTGATTCTGCACTCATAGTTCTCTTCAACCTTGAGCTATATAGCTTGCATAGCAATTTTGAGGCCTACAACCTGTCTCCAGTGCAGCCTTAGCATCAATCTTCTTTGATGACATTCACTAGTTTCGTCACTTAGGACCACTCTCTCTCTAATCCAGTTGATTGGAACAAATTATTACCAATCAAGAAACAAGGAAGGAAATGAAAATGTAAATTCGGAAATGATTAGTATTATGTGCAGAAAAAATCACAAGTAATCAATCCAATTGTCGTAGAAGCTGAAGAGGGAACGTATGTCCAAAGCTGAAGAGGTTTGTTATTCATGTTTCGAGCATGACTTTTAGCTCTTCTAAGTATGAGCGTAATTGGTTCTCATTTGAAATGGTAATTGAAGTTGCTTTTAATTTTCTTTGCTTGGCTTAGAAGATCATAAAAAAATTTCTAATTTTAGGTTTATATGAATTGCTTGCATCAAAAAAAGATGAATGACATAGTTTATCTTATGTATAACTTGAAATTGAAAAGTAAACAAACTAGAAAATTTGTTTCTCTTTCACTTGATGATATTATGTCTTACGATGAATGGATAAATGAAGGGGACAATGTTGGTGGAGAGAATGTGAGGATGAACAACATCAAGGGGAAGGTGATGTTAAAGGAAGTTCAATTAATCCATATCTAGATGCATTTGATCTTGGAAATATAATTTTCGATGTCAATGTTGATGATACACATTTTTTATACAAGGAAGAGCTTGATTGTGTGATGAAGTTGACAATGGAGATGGTGATGAAGATGATGATGGAGATGGTGATAATTATGATCTTGGGATGATGCTATTAGAGGATTGGTTTTGAAGACATTTATTCATTATTTTGTTATCATTTCAAGAACTTAGGTCTTGTATGAACTTGTCTTTTATTTGGTGAAATTTGAACTTATAGTAGTAATGTGCTAGTAGACTTAATCATTTACTTACTGAGGTTTATTATCTTAATTCATCATGGGATTGAAATGTAGATTTATTATACTATTTATAGGTTTTCCAATAGATTTTTATTTGAAGTAAACTTTTATAATATAAGATTAAGGATCTCTCATAAATTTTTATAAACTCTCAAGTTTGATAACCTCGAAACAATGTATGAAGATTGACAGCATATATGATGAATTAAATCTAAGAAAGGAGAAAATTGTTCATAATGACCAAAAAACACAAAAACAGAAAAAGGAAACTATTCATGTAAGAAACATGCACTATTTTCGTTCAATATCTTACAGACAAATCAAACAATGAAACTTGGAGCTCTCATAGTAAAAGATATGAAAAACCTAGAGTGTGACATGAATAGAAATTTTGTTTATATTTGTTTCTTGTAGAAAGTAACGAAATCTCGAATAAAAATTCTTGAAAACTATAATGCTGGAAGAAGATAGTATAGTCAAATTCACTTACTTCACCATTCATTTCATAAGCTAGAAGAACATCTGCTTCAGGATTTGTGGCCTGACTGAGTGGTATTGAAGCCTTGTATGGGCCTCCATTTTCCTCCTATAAGTGTTGTAATATTGAAAAGAATCAATTGAATAGTACAAATAATCAAAATGAATTCAAGGTATCACGAGTAAACATACGAGCCGTAGTCATCACCTTGCACTTATCAACGCTTACAAACTCCACATGTCTTCCACCAAATTGAGTGACACTAGTCAACTTTGGAATTCCAACGAGTTCAAGAAAATCGGACAATTTGGCACCACCCCATATTGCTGAGAAAGGCAAATATAATGAAACAGAGATTAGAATATGATATCTATTATGTTAAGAGTTTTGGTTTGTAGCTAAGCACTCAAGAAGCATCCAAGTTGCTTTGAAAACTACTTAATCTTGAGTTTAATATGTTTATGTTTCCACATTTATACAAGTTTTATGCATGTTGGACCAGAGGCTAGACATTATAGCTTTCGCATAAAAGTTTCAATTTCACGTGGTTTTTTATGAGATCTGTATTGAATGGGATTCCAAACAATCTCTCAATCCTATGCCAGGTCAGTTCTCATTATTCCATAAAGATGGCAATACTAACCATTTCCAATAGCAGAAACATCCCATCCAACTCCCCTCACTGTTTTGGTCTTGCTCATAGCAGTCCTCCTATTACCTGCACACTGAGATAAATTATTTGCGGGATGTAACTATCCCATCAACAACACTAACACCATGGGTCCAATTCAATTCAAGTTCTGCAAAAAAGTGCCCACACCTGTAATGTAGCAGTGACATTATACTTTGGAAGCATCCTGTCACCAAAAAACATGGTTACTTCATTGTAAATGTGAACAATACCAAAAAATTAGAATTCTTTTCCTAGAACAGGTTGGTATTGTTATTAACTCTTGGATAAATGAAATGTTACTATCATTTTGACTTATCCAACTTTCAGTGAGTAAATAGTCAAATAATTCTTGAAATCAAGTAATTGAATCACAACTTGTCCAACTAATTTTTAAATTGTGAATCCTAGATCATATCAAATCATAATACTTTGTCATAAAATGAAAAGAATAGATTGAAATATATAATATAATAAATGTTAGTGCTCAACAAAATAATATTTAGAACCAGAAATTGACCATATACAAGGCTCGTGAAATAAAACAATAACTCATAACTAATGGTATGGACTCTGAAGACTGATAACAGAGAAATGGAAGAGCAATATGCAGTAAGTGGAATGAGAACCATCAAGAAAAATTAAAATAGAGCATTTGAATAATCAAACACGGTGTGCTCAACACTACTCCCTCCGCTCATTTTCTTTTAACAATTTAAGCTTATCCAACTTTTCAATATTTTGATATGAAACAGCCAGTGAAACAGAAGTAAAAAATAACAAAGAATTCAAATTGCTGAATTGTGCGACTAATAGTGTTGACATGGACTCACATCAACTCATCTCTGTATTACATGATTCAAAACCCATTTTTAATTCATCACATGGTTGCCAGCCAAATTGCATGCCATCCGTATTGTGAATCATTAAAGTTGAATAACCATACTTGAAAGCTAAAGTCTGCATCGCATTAGTCTTGGAAGATAAAAAATACGCCTATGGCCTCTGAATATGCATTTTAGTAATCAACAAGGCTTAACAGTCCACAACCACAATTATGGCCAGAGTGTCAAAGTTTTTTGATGTCTTGCTGACCTCAACACGACCATAATTGTGGCAGCATAAGCTGCATTTGTTCATAATTTCCAATTTAAGAAATGTAACATGACTACAATTGTGGATTCTTCGACCGGATTTGTTTGTAATTTTCCAAAATATAGCAGTGTGTCTGGATGGAGAATTTTTAAAGAGTAATTCATTTATGTGGAGAATTTGAAATACTTTATGACAAAGTATGTTGTTTGGATAGGAATTTTGATAAAGAATTTTGTAGAAATTTATTATAGTAATTTGATTATTTAAAATTAGAGAATTTCGCATGAAATATAAGAATTTGAAAATTTTCATATATCTTCCTTCTGAAATTTATGTTTCTTTTTTCACATTCTCTTAGACATCGTTGCCTCAACTTTAGTAAAAATATCATCTTCTTGGCTAAGGTCGAGGCATCATTGGCTCACATAATTTTTTCTTTTGCTGATGTCAACAAGGTTTCTTTCAAGTTAAAGTTGATCATAATTATTTTTCGATGTCATCACCAAGGTTTTCTTTTTTTCGATATAGTATAATGTTATTTCTCAGCTGACATAGTCATGGATTTATTTGACAACATCAACAGAATTTTTGGTTCAACTCAACTAAGATTATTTTCATTGATGTCAATCGGTGTTGTTTTTCAATCAAAAGTGACCAAAACATAGGTCAGGGTCATTTCTAGACCAAAAATAATCAATGTGTTCTCAACCAACACTGGTGAGGCTAATTTTTAGTCGATGCCAGCTATTGGTTTTTATGCCAATAAGACTATATTTTGACCTGTGCAAGTCAGGGTTTTTCCATCGATGATCATAGGATTATTTTTGGGTGGTTGACATCGTCAGGATTATCTATCAACTTATGTAGGCCAGAGTTATTTCTTAATTGATGTTGGTAAAAATTTTCTCAACCTATGTAAGTGAGGCTATTTTTTCATGTAGATGTCAACATATTTTTTTCGGTTGAAGTGTGCATAAGAATTATTTTTCAATGCCACTGTGGTTTTGTGGTGGTAATTTTTGTTTGGTATTTTTATATTCGGTTGTAATTCAAACACTCTATTCAAATCATGAAATCAAAATTCAACAACTTTGAATTACTTAATCCAAACAAAACATATGAAAAGTTAAACAATATGAAAAGCAATGCAACTTCAAAAAATTATAAATTTTTTAATCCAAACACAAGTAAAGGGATTCGACCACCACAACTGGGACTCTAAATTAAAACCATGGTTATCAATCACAAACCGTAGCCATAGTTCGCATCATTCAATGACTAATTCGACCAACACTGTAAAATTAAGTGACTAATTTGACATATTACTCAACATTCACCATTGAATCATGGCATCGCAAATCGTAGCTGAATTATGATATTCAATATACTACTAAAGCCATTAGCTATTTTAAACCCGAACTAACCAGATATCTTTCATGAAGAGTTGCTTGGGACTCTCCACCAAACCGGACACGAAGACGGAGTATCTGCTCCTCACAACCAAACTCGTCACAAAACAAGATAAACTAAAACCTACGATGTTAAGGAACAGCGAAGAAGGAACCTGTTTATGTCCTCAACGATGGGAATTGGACCGTGATTCCTCTTGTAAAAGAAATCGGAAGGGGTGACGTACGAAGCAACCAACGTGGAACGTGGTGGCTCCGCATTGAATGGTGTCTGAAAGGGAAAAAAGAAAAACGCTAGTGGTGATTGCTACTTAGCGTTTGGAAAAATTGGGGAACGGAGAGAGGAATTGGCTTGCCTTGGCGTTGATTAGAAGAGAAGGGTGGCGCGGAGGTTCCTGGGAATAATCAGAGGGCGCTGTGAGACCTGGCATTTTCGCTGAAATGAAGAAACAGAGGTGAAGGCGAATGAAGCAGTGAGATGATGCGTGTCTTTATCCCAGTGATGTTAGTGGTTGTGTATACACGGGGAAATGATAGTTACAATGCCTCACACTTTGGTATCGAAGGAATGAAACGAAGCATGGATGATAAAATTAAGTCAAGTTGCTTGTTTAAAAAACATAAAATAAATTAAAAATAAGAAGACTAATATTTTTTTCTATTTTTATTTCTCTTATTTAAATTTTTACCTTATTTTCTTACGGATTTCTACTTATTATTTTTACTTTTATCGTATTTTTCTATTTTCTACCAATAGAAATTAATATAACTTTTATAAAAAAATTTAAAATCATACATTTTATCATATTTATTATTTAAATTTCATTTTTATATTTTCATATGTTTTATCGTTTAAACTTCATTTACGTGTTTTACTACGATTATTCTAACTTATACATGTTATTATAACGTTACTATGTTTGGTTTATCAATTTTTTTTCTTAATAATTATCATTTAAAGTTTAATTATATATATTGAGAAAAGTATTGATGTCTAGTATCTTTTAACAAATTTATTAAATTTTGTTGTGATATCATTATTATTTTATTTTTTAAGCCAAAATTACTCATAATAATTTATTAATATTTTGTTTTTACAATAAATAAAATTAAAAAAATAAAGATATAGTTGATAAAAATAATATAATTTTAAACTTACAAATAATAAAAAATAGAAATATTTTTTTTTAAATTGACAGTTAAACAAACAAAAATTATTTAATATATTGTTAAAATGCCTGAGAATAAAAAACATAATATATGTATATATCATGTAAAAAAATATAAATTGTAAAATTCCTAAAATAATAATAACTAGATATATGGTAGAATGTGTAATTAAGCTTTTATAATATTCGTCACAGGGTTTATATAGAAAAATAATTTATTAAAACTGATGATTCAATTAAATTTTAATTAATTAAAAATTATTAAAAGGAGACTAATATTAAATTCGTCATAAGTGGTCGTCGAGTGTTCCACTGATTAATCGAAGGTCTCATGATAAACACGTGTAATGCAATAGTGCGTCCACCATGCAATATTTTGTATTTTCTGCCTTTCACGCTGCATTTCAACCTTCTATCCCAACTTTTTTTTAGTTCAAATTCATTTTTCTAAAATCCATGATTTTTTTTGTTTTATTGGAAACAATCCTAATAAAATGGGCAGGATGTCGAGAGATGTAATCTCTGATCCAATCACAAGTTTAATTTATGTGAGATTCGATTGCTAAACATGAATTGAGTTACTTAATTATGTCATGAATGAGTTTTAATTAAATTACGAGATAACTGATTATGTCCTTTAAATTTTAAAAATAATTATAATAATTTGTAATTTTAATTAATATTATCTTATCTTATTATTTCATATAGTTATTACAAATCAAATTTTTATTCAAATTTATTATTAATTGTCAATTAAACTATTATGTTTGATATTAAATATGGGTCATTTGTTATCCATTACACTATGTTCGTTGTATTTATTACACCACAACATTATAATATTGTCACGATAGTGTTTATTGTATTTCATATTTATATTTTGATTGCGTCATAGCGTTTATCGAATTACTGCACTGTTATATTTCAATATCATATCTTAATCATAATATTTACTATATCACCCCTTACACCACATTGCATTCGTCGTTGTCACACTACCATATCATCATATTTCAATCACACCATAATATTTTTTTATTTTAATGCATCACAATGATTATCATGTTCAATTCTATAATTCAATTATATTTATTATAAAAATATAAAAAACAATAAATAAATATAAATTAATAAGTCAGTTCACTTAATTTATTAACTCATAATAGAGTAAGTTAAAAAGTAAAATTTCCATCTTATTATAAAATAAATGAGATTAATGACTATTTTTTAGCGCCATAAAAATAGGTAACTACTAAACCTTAAAATCAGCAAACAAATAAATAGATTTCAACAGGAAATAAGTTACATGTAATTGACTTAAAACATGCATGAATATTTTTCGAGGCCATGGCCCAAAACACTATTTTATTTTATTTTTCTCCTCGTTTCTTCAAAATATCTAATAATTCATCTTAATTATTAATAAAATAAAAATTATTTTTTATTTTAAAAATAAGTAAAAGATACCTAATACAAAATAAGAAAAAAAATTAAGAATTGAATATCATTAATAAGTAAATATTATTTGTCATGTTAGATTTAACTCAATTACTCAAAAATATATTTAATAAAGGAAAAAACACGTTATACTTAATTAGTTAATATAATTAGCTTTTAAAATAATATTATTTGTTATTAAAAATAAATTGATTATAAATAGGATAATACTATATATATATATATATATATATATATATATATATATATATTATTCTCTCATTTTTTTTATACATTATTATACTTTTATTTTTTTATATGATATTAACTTAAATATAAAAAATCTTCATAAGTGCACTTCTTATTTTTGCAAAACTTATCTGAAGGACATCTTAGCTAGGCCTGATTATCGGTCGGTAGGAGTGACTTAAATTTTATAAATCCATATTAAATTGAAATTTAATTTTTAAAATTTATATCCGATCATTTTATTTATCGGGTTAATTGGATACACATTATATGGATTACGAGCTAATTTGATGAATTACTCGAGTTAAATTTAAATTAAATCAATTTTTTTAATGTATAACTTTTAATATTTTATTTAGTTTAATTTTATTTATCTAAATGAATAAACTAAATAGATTAAATCTGTATAATTTCAATCATTATTTTTATAATACACTTTACTAAATTAAAAAAAATAATTCATATAAAAAATAAAAGTGAAAAATAATACACAAACTAAATTTATATATAATTATAAAATTTAGCAATTTAATATAATTCTTAATATTTCTATATATAAAAAAAATTAATAGAGAATATTCAAGTGATAGTGGCGAAAAAAAATAATATATAATTTTTTACATATCCTAAAAGTCTTAAAATCCAAAATAAAAGTAACTTTTATAAATTATCATGCATAAAATACAAATATTTTAGAAGAAGTTATTGTAAAACATAAATGCCATTCCCAGGTAATGATGGTTCTTTCCAAAGATCAGAAAAAAAAAGAGTTTATGTGGTATAAAAAAATAGAAATTCATAATTTGATTTTATAGAGAATAAATATTAACAAGATGACAAAAAATTACAAATTATCCACAAAATAAGATAATTATCCAGATAAATTAAATTCCTACATAAAATATTTAAATATATAAGAAAGTAAAGAATCTTTATTCAAAAAATTTGAATTGAAATTGAATCGCACAAATTTATCAATGACATAAATGATTGAAAAAATACATTATTTATATGGGTAAAAATTGGTTATTAGGGATATGGAAGGAGATATTTGTTGAAACATACAAGGATATGAATGTTGAACATACATGGAAATGAGGCATGTAGATTTTGATGATGATTCAAGAACAAAGGTCTTAAAGATTTGAAGACTTGTAATATGATGTAATAACTCTGTTTTGATGATTTTGAGTCTGTAATATTGAGTCTAAGATAGCCAGCACATAGTCTATTCTTTAGAAGCTTCAAAAACTCATTTTTAACAAAAACACAATGGTTTAATCAATTAAAAGGCAGGATAATCGATTATTACAGAGAGAAAAATCATTTTCTGTATCAGCTCTCTAGAATAATTGATTAATTGGTCTGTTAATCGATTAACAGGTTAATCGATTAACAGGCCAATTAATCGATTAAAATGCATGGTTATGGGTTCCTGTTGATTTTGGCTTTGTAATAATCGATTAACACTCAAGATAATCGATTATTTCAGTCAAATATGCATTTTAAACTTCAAAATTGGACCAAGTTTCGAAAACCCTAGTCCCAATTCACTAGGTTTCGAAAATCCCCAATTCCCAAACCCTAATCTGTCTACTTAAGGTTCTCTAAGGCTCTTTGCAAAGTGAACAACCTTTTTCAAACAAAAGTTGAGAGTTGTGACTGCCAGAGAACTGTTTGTTGGAGGAAAAAGGGGCTTTTGGAACCTAGTGTGGGCTAGAAGCGATAAGAATCACTAAGTGGAGTTCTTGGTGGATTGTGTGTTGTGCCATCTCTAGGGAAAGTTGTTCTTCATCTCTTGTGTGACTCAAGAGAGGTGTTTTTGTTACCTTATCTTTTCATTTGTAATATGTTTGTATAAATTTGATTATAGTGACAGCGTTAATCCTCTGTTTGAGTGATTAACAACTGGACGTAGGGTCTTTTGATCTGAACCAGTATAAATCTTCTGTGTAAGACTCTATCCTTATTCTATTTACGTTTACACAACATTTTAATCGGTAAAATTTGGGGAAAATTTTTAAAACCTAATTTTTGTTAAGAAACCAATTCACCCCCCCCCCTCTTGATTTTTGTCCGTTCACGCAAACATTCTGCTGCGCGATTCTAGCAAGTGGTATCAGATCTTGCTTTGATAGTCATTCAAATTTTTCGAAAATGGCCGGACAAAATCAAACGTTTGCCGATGGTGCTTCTATCAATAGACCCCCACTTTTTGCAGGTCAAAATTATCCTTTCTAAAAAGTTAGAATGCAAATCTTTTTAGAGTCTGTTGATAGAGGCTTTTGGGACGCTATTTTAAACGGTCCCTATATTCCTAAAATTTCTAAAAACGGAGTAGATGTTCCTAAACCATTTTCTAGATGGACGGTGGAGGAAAATAGAAAAGCGCAATTTGACATTAGGGTTAGAAATATTATTTCATCTGCGTTAACCCTTGATGAGTTTTACAGGATCTCCGTTTGTAAAAGTGCTCAAGAGATGTGGGAAATGTTGAGAGTGACCCACGAAGGTACCGACGACGTTAAAAGAGCACGGAAAAATTCTTTAATCCAAGAATATGAGATGTTCTGAAT